GGTTTAACCGGTTCGGGGTACCCCGGGCCCGGCTCGTTGGGGTCCGCCCGCCCTCCAGCCCGTGGCCTGGGCTGCTGGGTCGGTGTCCGGCCGCTCCTGCGCTGCCTGACAAGGTGCCGTTGCTCAAGCAGCATCGCTTGGCTGTCAGTAGAACAGCAGCGCGGTGGTTTGGTTGCCTGATGCACATCAGACTCAAATATCTCTTCACTTTCGCAGTTATGGAGCAAAAATTCGTGCCCCGCACGCCCTGGTGATGACTTTCCTGTTCAAGAGTGGAAGGTACAAGTCCTAATTCTGTGTGTCTGTGCTACTGCTTAGCTGCTTTCATTCAAACATTCCATCTTCCGTCTTTCCAGAGGGCTTAAAAAGCAGAAAGAGAAGTGAGCCACAGCCGTAGCTGGTTGTTCTGACAGCTCCACAGCACAGCTCATGTGCACGCACAGACACGCTCCTGGGGGTCAGCCACGTGTGCAGCGGTTGATGAGAACCAGTGGGCAGAGGAGAAACGAGCAGATGCAAACAGCAGCACTCTGCTCTCCCTTCAAATAAAGGAAGCCGAGCTATAGCAGTGCACGTTGTGGCTTTCCCGGCTTGTGCCAGGGGTTTGCACTTAGGCAAAACGTTAAAAAATAATTGAAAAACAAAAAAGGCTCCTTGACTGTTCATAGAATGAGACAAAAGCACAGTTCACAGTCTGAGTAGAGCTGTTGAATATGTTCTGGTGAGGGGATTTGTCCTCCCTCACAAAGCAGATGTCCTGTGGGGTGCCCGAGCTCTCAGTCTGGACGGGCAGGCCAGAGGGGTGTAGTGTCGAGGCTGAGTGACTGCGATGGTGCTGCCTTTTTGCTCTTCTAATTGTCTGTTTCTTTTCTTCAGTTTAATAGAGAAATTGAAATCGATTGCTCAGGCCACGTACACTCACTCCCGGAACCTGGCGTGTTTTGTGTTCACCTACAAGGGGCTGATGGCGCTGCAGTCTCGGCTACAGGGGAAAAAAATCCCGTTTCATTCTTTCTTTGCAGCCTTCATTGGAGGCTGGCTGGTGTTCGGTGAGAACAATCCCATCAACAGCCAGGTAAATACATCTGTTGAAAGTTTCCTTGACAAAAAAAACCCAACAGATGGATGATGCTGTGCCAGGAAGTGTTTGGTGTAGCCTGACGTGTCTCTGGTGGTTCTTACCATGTAGAATTATTCTTTTATCATATTTCTCTTGGCACAAGTTCTGGTTTTGGCTGTGCTGCGCTCAAATCCTCAAGGTGGTTGTGTTCCTCTGTGAACAGTGTGTGCAGTTTGAGAGCTAAAAGCACAGGTTTATCTGCAGCACTGCACTTGTGTGCCTAGGGAGGCAGGAAGGCAGTCACACACCCCAAAGCCACTGGGTTACCCCACCTGTCATCTGAGCTGTGGTCCTTGACCCTGTGCCATCGTGCTCTGCCTTTCTGCAGGGCTAAACTCTTCTGCTTGAACACTGTGAGTGTAGAGCACAATCAGTCACTACAACTAAATCAGCACTTGTGTACAGCACAATCAGCTACACTCAACTAAAGTGCTTCAGCTGACAAAAGCTGCACAGGAGAAGTTGGGCTGTTAACAGTCACAGATTAATCAGTCAGTAAAACACACAGATGTAGATTAATCAAAAGTGTTTTGCTTACACAGTCCCCTGCAGGAGCATACCTTCAGTCTGGTTTTAGGACTGATATAAACTCCAGTCTACTGAGTTTATATCTGTTGGCAGGTCAGCAGAGCTGCTCCCTGACTGTTCAGTCGGCAGCAGCATCTGAGGTAGCATGAACTGAGCAAAGAGGAGAGTTGTGCAACTGCAGAGGTATGTTGCATCAAGCGTAACTTGTTGATTACTAAATTAGAGCACCAGCAGAGACGTAGCATTTGGAGGACGTAGGGAAGACAAACATCTCTGATTATAAAGACTGCTTGATATTTTAGATATTTTTTATTTTTAGATATTTTAGATATTCCAGTATCTGGAGGGGACTTACAGGAAGGCTGGGGAGGGACTTTGGCCAAGGGCAGGGAGTGACAGAACAAGGGGTGATGGCTTGAAAGTGGCAGAGGGGAGCTGGAGCTGAGATGTGAGGAAGAAATTCTTTGGTGTGAGGGTGGTGAGACAGTGTCCCAGGTTGGCCAGAGAAGCTGTGGCTGCTCCTCCCTGGAAGTGTTGAAGGCCAGGTTGGATGAGGCTTTGAGCAACCTGGTCTAGTGGAAGGTGTCCCTGCTGCTGGCAGGAGGGTTGGAACTGGATGAGCTTTAAGGTCCCTTCCAACCCAAACCAGTCTGGGATTCTGTGATATGTGAACCTACAGCCTGTTTGCTCTTAAGTTGGATAATTTTTTTCCCACCTCTCTTGCCTGGTCTGTCACTTCTGAATCACTTAACCTAGTATATGTGGTCAGGGTGTTTACCTCCTGTTCTCTGGGTTGTCTCTTCATGCAGATCATTATGTACCTGCTGTCTCGTATCCTGTTCGGCTTGTCTCGCCTGGCAGTGGAAAAGGGCTACATCCCACAGCCAAAGCAGGATCCCTTTCCACTTGTGGCTGCTCTGATATGGGGGACAGTTCTCTGGCTCTTTGAATACCACCGGCAAACTCTGCAGCCTTCTCTGCAGTCCTCCATGACCTACCTGTATGATGACAGTAACACATGGCATGACATTTCTGATTTCCTCATTTATAACAAAAGGACAGACAGCAAGTAGGTGGTTTGTTGTAAAACACCTTTGAATGGGATGGTCCCTTTCAGCAGCTGAGGGAAAAGGTTAATTCTGTTGCTCTTGATTTTTTTAATTAACATCTATGAAGCACACTTGCTTCTTTTGTCCTGGCCAAAATATTCTGATTCATCCTCTATTGGCTCTGTTTAGAGAAAGTAAATACCCCACAGAACTTGTTGTAGTCCTTAGTGAGAGTAAAATGCCTTGGGAATATTCCTTGAGTTAAAATAAGCCTTTTTTTTAAAAGAGGCCTTATTTTCCCTAGAAGGATGTGGTTTTATTTTAAAAAAAAATTAAGTATACTTATGAAATGACAGCCTGACAGTAAATGGGGGGTGTGTCTAATCACAAAAACAATGTTCTAGAGGTTGTCTGAACACTCACAAGACACAAGCGTTTCTCTGTGCTGCTGTGCTGACTGTAGTGTGATGGGAGAGGGAGACCTGCTCAGGTCTGAAAGCTTCATTTCTTGGTTTCTGTGGATGACTGGAAATCTTTAAACTGTTAGGAGGACAGTTCTGTGCTCCTTAAGAGAGTTTCTCTGCAGTTTTCCCTCAGGGAGACAGCAAGATGTTTGAGAATAAAACCGCTAAGATGTCGAGTACGAGCCTGGTAAATCAGGCTCCGAAGGACTGGTTTGGCTTGGTTTCTTTCATGCACTTAGGCTGAATCTGTCTGTCTGCAGAGTGAAGTAATTAATACCCTGTAATTATTTTAAAACATATTTGTAAAGTTTTTAAAAACTGCTTGAACTAAATACCAAAAACAATTACGCAACTTACGACTCCTTTGAGAACAGGCTGAGGCGCGTCCGCACGCCCTCGGATATCACACTGGGTGCTTCACACGTCGAAGCAAACAACGCTTTTCACAAGCACTTTTATTTTGGTGGAAGATAAGCACATGGGTTTCTCTCAGGTCTGGAATCTACCCTCTCCAGCAGCAGTGGCATGTGTTAGCTGTAATCAAATGTGAATGTACCTAGTGTGAGCACGTTGCCGAGCCAGGTTGAGGCCATGGATGAATATATGAGTGAATCTTCCTCTTAAAAATACACTGCTGAGTTCCAGGAATGGTGGAGCACACACTGGGCTTTAATACAAGGTTGAATAGGTAGCTGAGGAAGGAAGAAAGGAAGAAAAAACCACAAAACAACCTGCTTTAAAATTAATAAAAGTCAAACTGTTAATAGTTCAAAGCACTTACACTGCCATATAATGTTATACCATTCACTTAGTGCTGTACATTAAAAAAATTCCTGACACGCTGGTTTATGTGGTGATATCACAAGAGAGTTAAGCACCCTGTGCTAACCATTCCCTTTTCTCTCAGTCAGGACTATTTTATTTGCTCCTTTTATACCTTTATACCTTTTATACCTTACAAAAATGTTAGTTCTTCCTTTAGCCATCCGCTTTTCCATCATGACCTGACTTTGTCATTTCATAATCCCAGTGATGCTGCTCTTCATCATCTTTCACAGTCTCCTGACACTCCTGGCTCTAGCAGTTTGTCGTATTTAATGGTACGACCAAAACACTACATTTATGTTCAGGTAGCTTCTGAGTAGGAAAAAAATTTTGATTTCTTCTTAAGTCATTTTTCCTTGTCCTCTTAAGCTCTTTCATTTACTATTATGCATCTCTGAGTGCTACTTTGCTCTTTATTTTTCCACTCTCTGTGTCAGCAGGAGGGAGAGTTAAATGTTCCCCTCCCCTTAGTTTGTCTGGTGCTGTTTGGAATGTTTGGAATCAAATCACGTCCCAAGTGTCTCAGGTCGAGTAGGATATTGAGTCTTCTGGCTCTTGAGCTGAGTCTAATGGTGAATGGACCTCCATTCACTGTGAGATCTTACAGTGAGAAGGCAGAAGCCTCTTTGTGCTCGTCCCATGCAAATCCACAACGTACTCATCTTCAGTGCCCAAAAGACAAGATACTGCTTTGCCATCACCTGCTATTACCATCTGTACTGGATAATTGAATGTGAACACCAATCAGTATTTAATCAGATAGACCCCAGGAAAGCTGTAGATTTAGGAATCAAGTTTGGTTTCTTTGTAGTTAAATATTTTGTTTGGTGTAGATACCACTAAAGATTCAAGTACAGAAAAAATACCAAAGCTACAGGTGAGGTCTGATGTCTTTATTGGCACCACTGATGTGTATCTGAAGCAGTGTGAGTGCAGCACTCTGGTTTTATGTCAGAAACCTCAGTGTTGTTCCAAATAAGAATGTTAATATTCTGCTAATATAGCTGAATTCCTACAAGCTTTGATGGGATTTCAGAAACTCCTTCCAGAATCTGACAGCCGTGGCTTGAGAATTTCTCCCTAGAACTATTAGACTTGCAAATCCTTGACCGTGTATAATTACTGTAGCGAAGGTGGTGGCGGGTTGGTTCTGTGAGCTGTGTGTCTGTAAGACGTTTCTGGCCTTTTTAATTTATAGCTGGCATTCCTTTCTCTGAGAAAGGCTTGTGATTCCCTTAGAGGCAAAATCATTTTCTTCTGCTGCTATTTCTGCCACTGCAACCGTATGGCTGCTTGTGAAGAACTTCTCTGGCCATGTGAAGGACAAAGTGTCCTGTCCTTTCTATGCTCCCATGGTGTCTCTGGCCTCTCTAGATGGCAATACCAAGTTTTTAGTATCAGCCTGGCAGCAGCGACCATCAGTTGTCCGTGGTTCAAAACACCCTTTTTCTCTCTTGGGAATCTATCACCGACCTCACTTTCAAAGCAAATTGTGCCTGAGCTTTGAACCATCTGTACTTCTGATCCAGGAACCAGCTGCCATCCCTGAAAGACAAACTGCAGCTCATCCCAGGAGCAGGTCCCGTGTCGCAGCAGCCAGGAAGCCGGGCGTTTGTGGACGGTTGGTTTTCCTGCTGTGCCGGGGCAGGACGTTAAGCTGCAAGTCAGTTCTTTCCCCAGGGAAGTAATTGGAACAGTTCTTGAAGGGCAGTAGTCCTCGGTGGTGTTTCTGTGACCAGATAGCTGGGGATGAACCCCTTCTGCTACCGAGGTGTTGGAACAATGCGGGCGTGTAGTAAGGAAGTGAACTAGAAGTAATTTGTCTGAGTCAGACTTTTCGGATACATAAGTTACACTCCCAGCCCTCCCCCACTGCATTGTCTGGGGAATCCAGTCCCCTGTTTGTGTTCCTTTTTTTTTTTTATTAGCATTAAAACCAAAAGAAATAAAAGAGGCAGTTGGGAAGCCACCTGCGAATTGGCCAAATGCTGAAGAATCACAAAGAAATGCCATTTTCTCCCCCCAGCCCTGATTGGTTTTGAATTTTAAGATGAACATGGTTTTGTTTGTCTACATCAAGTTTTATTTTACCTTGTTATTTCTTGCTTGGCACCTGACTGTGAGATACTGAGAGAGAGATACTGAGAGGGAGATACTTCCTCTAAAGAGGGGCAGAGTGTCTCAGTGCTTAGCTCAGTTTGTCAAAAATTAAGATTCCTGGATAAAATTGAAGCGTTCCTTTTTAAAATTATCCTTCTCCTTCTGATTTTAAGCCTCTTTTAGAGAAAGTTTGAAAGGTTAATGAATGAAACTGATCAAAAGTTTTCAGCGAGCCTTGAATAGCAGACTTGACTGTACGGAGCTATTAATCATTTATTTTATGAAGGAACAAAGCCAGCTGAGGGTTGTTTACTGCCGCCGCATGCTGCCCTGGCATACCCACTGCGCTCACTTCTCTTTGGAGGACAGCTTGTGTGCCAGGGCTGCTGTCAGCATCGCTGAGGAACCCTTTCCGGGACAATTACATTATTTAACAAAGGTGGAAATTAAATGGGTGAGTGACATTTGGTGGTAGGTGAGGGGTTTTTTTGGACTCTTGTTTGATCCTTTCAGTTAAAGGGAGGATATTCCTAAATGAAAAAAACTTGTGCTGGTCCAGTTAGTGCCACAGAGAAGTGCTGATGGAGGTGGTGGCAGCAGTGACGGCGTGCTTTGTCCCTGTCACCATCCGTGTGGTGACACCCCTGCTCCAGACAGTGGGGACAGGAGGGAGAGGCTGCAGAACAGCTTTGCTAACTGGTGCTGCGAGACTTTCTTGCCCCGGTAGAGTAGTTGAAGCTCTGCTTTAAACGGAGCTGGGTGGGGGGTAGGAGTGGGGGGATGATCTCTGGCTGCTGAAGGGGACCAAAGCCAGGTGTCCGTGGGGACCCCCTGTGACTGCAAAGGGTCCCCTGCCCTCTCTAGGCTCTGCAGCCCACTGGGAGCCGTTGTGGAGGGCTGGTGCTACTGGAGTAACCAAAAGCCCATGCAGATACCTTCACACAGGAGAAACTGCGGTGACTCCAACTCATTTTCACTGCGTCAGCACAAATGTGACCTTTGGATAATACCCCCGAGCCGCGTGCTGGTTCCTCTTTGTCAGGTCGTGTTTGTCTTCCTGGATGGTGCCAACCTGAGCAGAATGTGTTCAGTTTTCTGATGCTGGTGTTGAAATCCAGCAGATAAGGGAGGAGGGAAATGAAGGCGTAATGCTACCCAGTGTAATGTCTGTCTGCCACTGTTAATATTTTAGGGACTGCTAATCTTGAATTTTCAGCCTGCGTGTTCATACCCGATTGTTGGAGGAGGTCACTTCTTTTCTTTACTTAGAATAATTTTCATCAGTCTCATTTCCTTATGAGACTGGGGATGAGGAGGGGAAAAAGCAAATTAAATGCTTTGTCATACAAGTACTATTACCTCTGCTTTTGGTATATTTTTTTTGTGTTCACAATTTGCTGTGTAATCCAGACCTTGATTTTTCTGACAGCGTAGAATAAAGTTGTTAACATGAACTCAGGTAACTTGCAGCTACGCTGATCAGAGTGCTTGTAGGAATAGCTCAGCTTTTTGTTTTCAGATGTGCAGAAGAGGGTGCAGGGGGGTGTTGAAGTAGCTCTGTTCCCCATGAATTGACATCTTGTGCAGTCGGTGTCGTACATCAGTCCAAGACTTCCTGCCAAACTCATTTGCAGATTATTTCTGTATAATCACTCTTTGAATATTATAATACTGTACTTTCTATAAGAATAATAAAACCCTAACTTTAAGTCTTTTTTTTTTTTTATTATTGTCATCATTATTAAGCTAAAATATATGAAGTAACTTTCTATAAGAATAATAAAACCCTAACTTTGTCTTTTTTTTTTTTATTATTGTCATCATTACTAAGCTAAAATATATGAAGTTATGCTTAATTATTGCATGT